TAGCAGAAACTTATTTTTTCTTAAAAATATTGCTAGTTGTTTATGCCATTACATTCAGTACTACATGAGAATTATGACTTACAAGTAACATTTTATGTACAAAAAAAAACGAACATTATTAAGGATACTGTATAGTGTGGTAAAAAAGAAAGGTGTGACACTGACCCTAGTGATTTTGCTGGTTGTATTATTGTATATTGTTCTAATTAAAACATATTTAATGAAATATACAAAATTTAATGGAGTTTAATTCAAGTATAGTGATTATAGAAATCTAAGAATTACTTCTCGGTTTTATAATAGTTGCTTTTGTTCCTAACACCTACAACAGATGTACACATTAACGTATTTTAGAGTCAAGCAACTGTTTTTTAGATTACTAGAATTACATTTTTGGTAATTTTGAAAGCTGCTTTGATATATTGACTAAATATATCAAGAATACTTTCTGATTGAAAAACCAGTTTTTCAAACTATCATGTGTTATGTCAGATATAGTATATTATCTTCAATGAACAATAACAAATTAACATAAGTTTTAACAAAACATGAACATGTAATATATTTGAGATGATATGTCAAGTCAACCAACAAATAAGTGAGTCAAGTAAGCCCAAATGGTAGAAAAAAAGGAACACAATTTTAAAATTTGTTTAACAAAAATCACTAAAATTACAATAAATGTAATCTCATTTTTAAATTAGCATTTTGAAAACAAAATACAGTGGTACCTCGGTATACGTCTGCTTTAAAATATGTCCAATTCAGAATATGTCCTGTTTGGATGAAACAAATTTTGCTCGGTATATGACTTTTGTTTGGTATACGATGGTATACAACTTAATTCAATTATACGTGCCATCTATGAACAAGTAGCACTATCATGTACTAGGCCAGACTAGACGTTCACAGTGCCACAGTTTATAACTTTGTTAAATTTCTTCTGATTTTAATTTGTAAGCAAAATTTTATTGTTTTTATTAATCATGAATTGCAAAAAGGCAAATGAAAAGCAACAGAAAACTAAAAAATGACTAGAATCACAATGGAACTTAAAAAAGAAGACTGTTAAGAAATATGAAGGTGGCATGCATGTTCAAGATTTTAACTGTTGCATACCATATTCCGAGAACGACGATATCGACAATCGCGAAAAATAAAGACATTATTAAATCTGCTAACGTTGCAAAATTAGTTAAATCAATTTCTAAACAGAGATCGAAGACATTAAATCATGTTAAGAAATTGCTTTTGCTTTGGATAACTGAAAAACAGTGTGCTAGAGACAGCGTATCAGAAGCAATTATTTGTGAGAAAGCTAAAAAGATACATGCTGATCACATGAAAAATCAAGCAGAAAAGCGAGGTGTTTAAAGCCAGCCATTTTTTACATGAGAACGGATTAATCATTTTTACATTACTTCTTATGGGAAAGGTTGGTTCGGTATATGTCCTATTCGGTATAAGTCCAAACATCAGGAACAGATTAAGGTCATATACCGAGGTTCCACTGTATATTATAAATAGCCTTAGTTCATTTCTCGTACAATTGATATTAAGCAATATACAGATTGAATCAGTTTATTTATGTATATTTTCTATACAACAAATTATTTTATCCAACTTATACTGTATATACATACATAAATTAAAATAATTTTCATTTATATTTATTGAATTCTGTTTAAAATTTTTCATTTTTAAATATGAGTAACTTGCTTAATCAGAATATTGTTATTTGTAAATAAAAACAGCAATATTTAAGTTATATTTCTCTTTACAAGAAAAGTTATTTCAACAATAATTGAAATAGCCTTTCTTATTCCCAATAACAGAGCTCTCAACCTGTGATTTTGAAGAGAGCCGATATCATAGCCAAAAAACCTGACATTTGCCCCAAAAAAAATGCTGGTAGCCAAAATTTTAACCAAAATATAGTGATTTTGACAATCTAGTGCAAGGCATACAAAAATGATAAAATAAATTGGATGTGATATTTGATCATTTTTCATTCATTATACTAACACAGTGTTGCGTAGAAGAGAGATTCCCTAACTATAAAATTGAGATCCCCAGAAGGGTCACCAATTCTTCTTATGTGGCTGCGTAAACATTTTTTCATAAACATTATTCCTCCTAAGTGGAGGAATTAGAAAATAGGAATCAGAATCATCAACAAAACAAGCCAATAAATGCCAAACATCGAGCACACACGGACAATCCACTTTTCAGATGGGGCATTCCAATTTTCAACATGAATGTTGAGTGTTGAAACCAACAAGTTGACATTATCAACAATTTCCAATTTCAAGCATGAAGTGCTTAGTTCCCACAATTCCATTCTCAGAAAGATGGATTTCATTCAAATGTTTCACCAATTACCCATAACTCATTGGAAAGCAGTAGTCAACATATCTGTTGAGTGCCGAGTGTGTCAAGTCAGCAGTGGCGTGCCGTGACATTTGATGATAGGGAAGCTGTGTTTCTGTAAGAAGCCAACATCCAGGTGCAATCAGTCAACTGCACGTCAGTGATGGTCTAGGGCAGTGGTTCTTAACCTTTTTATACTCGCGACCCACCAAATATTTCATAATTTTTTTTGTGACCCACATTTTTTAATAATGATTTATATTTGTTAAATTATCTATAATAAATTGATTTTTTTATTATTGCTTTATTTTTTTTATATAATAAATGTAAAACATAACTTTATTATTTTATTATCTATTTAAATAATATTCAAACTCCACAATTAAACATAAAAGCTCATTAATATTTAACAAAAAATAAATAAGAAACATTTAAAAATTCATAGAAAAAAGAAAAAATATTCGAAAATACGTACTTGCGAAAGGCAGCAAATTTTGCATGGGAAGATTTTCTGCACGAATTTGTATGTAAAATTCCAAGCATTAATAGTTTTAATAGTTTCTTAGAATTACTTTGAAATAAAAGAAGTAAATAGTGCAGTGTAAGTAGCATATTTGCATTTATTTCTTCTGTACTAACAAAGTTGTATGTAGGAAAAAATAAGAAATAAATAAAAAAACTAAATATGATAACTTTATCTTTCTTATTTCACTTTTCAATATGATATTCAGTTATACATCAATTTTCTTTTTATTATATTCTGAAGGAAATCTTGCATAATTTGGCAGCCCCCGGCAAAATCCTTACGGACCCCCAGGGGGCCGCGGCCACCCTGTTAAGAAACACTGGTCTAGGGTCCATTCGTATCGTTTATTCGATAAGCCAATAAAAACCATAGACTTCTCTAAATGCATTTCTAATATCACAATTGCATTCCAAATCGCTAGAAACGATATAAGGGCTACAATTAAAAATAAAATAATAAAAACTTACTCGGTGAAATAAAGTGTGTGATGGATGTACTGGTACATACCTGGTACAAAATATTCTTCAACTGTATGAATATACTTTTAAAGAAAATTATAATTAAATATAGCTTTGTAAAGAAACATACATAAAAATATAAAATAATCTTTACTTTTTAAATCTTAAAACAATGCACTTAGTCAAATAGCTCCCTACGAGTGGATAATGGATGGAATCGAAAACATTGCAGAGTGTGCATACATGCGAACTGCCAAATCCCCAGGATGCCGATACTGTTTATGTCAAATGCCTCTTTTGTCGCATCACTAGTATACCTCAAAGGACGCGACAGGACTGTTGTATATTTTAAACATTTCTCACCATAGCTGTAAAAATCTAAATTTGTTAAACTTAAAAGTCATTTGTTTTCTAACTAATCCATTTTAAGACCAGGTGTACACGGAAATTTCCAAAATTACAACTTTTAGTCACTTTCGTTGAACTGGAAAAATTTCTGTCTTTATTACATCTAATATTACGAAGAAATCAGTTCAAACTGTACTCGGTTAAACTTTTAAGTAAAATTCCAGCTCTTTCAGCAGGGTTTTATTTGTGTCCCCAATTCCCTAAGTGCTTAATTATTTAACAACTTCTTAAGTAGAAATAAGTCGAAACCAGTTACTTTGTACTCAAATATTTGTAGTCTCGGGAAAAAAGTGGAAAGATAAATTTTTGTGACAAACGGATACATAAATCGTAAATTTAAAGAAAATAAATTCTAGAGTTTTTTCTATTCCTCGTGCATCTCTCTCATTCAATAAATTTAGTTGTAAATGATGCTACCAAAGTAACGGTTAATTTTTTAACATTATACAAGAATTGTACACATTTTTTTCTACATCCCCTTAAAGATGGGACATACGAAATTGTAATATCACTGGTTTAACATTGAAATTCGTGAGTAATATAAAATCGGAGAGCGGAATAAATATGTCAAATATTTTAATGGATTTCTTTTAACTCCTGTCAACTATACAGAATCATAAAAACATACCAGTAAATTCTTATCGGTTGGGTTAAGTTATAAATCTACTCGTGATTCGCATAATCGAGCGAGGGCGGCCAAATATGTAGCGGGCAGGCAGCTAACAGCCCAGAACCAGTCCTGGATAGAATTGGATGCGGTATATGTGTAGCATCCACCCAAGGTCCTAGACTTCTACCGGCTAAACCGGGTGAGGTTGGTGCTCTGTAAAGCACATGCACAAATCTGGCTTTTTGGATGCTGACAATACAGCGCTTCCACTCCGTCACTAATATTCAAATATACAATAGCAATATTATTTTTTTTTTCATGTGTAGTATAGAAATTTGTAATAAGATACATAATGTGGTTATAATAAAATATTGTGCAATTATTTTCATATAATTAAAATTAATATGTATTTATTTTTTAGAAAATACAAGGGAAGCAGTGCATCCACCACTTCCAATAACGGCATGCCACTGCGAGTCAGCACTGGAAATTGGAATGTCCCAAAAGGTTCAGTCTACGCATCCACAAAACATGGATGGTCGAGAGCTCTGCAACAATATACTTTTCTACAAGTTTATGACAATGAAAATAACTACGTATGGGAAAAACGAATATCAGAATTACAAACCTCTTTTATTTTATTTCTTCTCTCTCTGGTCACGGGATCAGAAGGTTCGCCGCCATGAGTGCCAGGTCCTCCTGGATGATCTCTGATAATGTCATTACCTATTAAATTTGCGGTATCGTCGGCGGCGTTAGATATAATCAAGTCATTGCGAGCATCTCTCGAATGAACATTCTGAGGAGGAGGAGAAGAACTTTGTGGTTCATTATATTGAGGTTTTTCAACTTGTGCCTTGTCTTGGTTCTCTTTCAGATTTTTCTGTCTTTCTTTTTCTAAATCCTGATGAATTTTCTCGATTAACTTGGCCCTGTCGACCAGTCTGTGAGGATCATTATTGTTGACGTCATTATGCCTTAGAACATTACCTTCTTGATCTTGAGGAGGAGGAGGTAAAAGAAGATCTGAACCAGCATCTCTAATGTGCATGTATGCCGAATGGATTGAACTAGATCGGAATTCGGGTAGGAAGAACACTGTTCCGATACATATTGTTATAAAACTAACGAGAATCAGTACAACCACGTATTTCTCACGTAACCGTAGAGTTTTCCTTCCGGTGGAAATGATTGGAATCCCATTTACATACCTTTGATAAGTGGGTAATATTGATGTCGTCGCCATTCCGAAAGACGACAGTCTCGACGTCAGATCTTCTACTCATCTCATTCCTTTCTTCCACACTTCGTTATTGGAAAAAAAATTGTTTTAAATTTTTGCGTTATAATCAATATTGTTTATTATATATTTATCGGTTTTTATTGTAGATAAATAAAATAAATTAATATTAAATATTTGTTTATTTTAAAATAATAATATTTTTTTTAAAATGAAAGCTGATATTTTAAATTGGATGCCCAGTTGCCAAGCGGTAGGGTGGCAAACTATTTCTCTGGGGAATCCGGAATCGAAACCGCGATAATTTTTTAAATTTTTCAGGAGGTGGTCCGTCTGGATATATCGGACCCCCTTCCTCACCACTTGGACCAGACACTGTCTGGTCCAAGTGGTGTCGAAGGGAGGTATAGTACCTCCCGGGAGGATTTTCTATGGGAAGCTGGCCCCTATTTAAATATTACAAACGTAAAGAAAACTTAGAAAACTCCACGTGGCTAGCCCGTTGGCGATGCGCGAACCCACGACCTACTGTCGGTGTTCGGTGGTTTTATCCACTCGGCCACTGGTGGGCGGCACTAAAAGGACTTTTTCAGACCCATCGTGGGTTCGGCTAGACTTACATTGATAGGGACGGATCCGTCATATCTAGGACGGACTCTCTGTGGACACTTGTTTGATCATATATATCAGGGATGGGCAACCTTTTTCTATGCAAAGGTCACATTTCAAAACTTTCGAACTGATGCGGGCCGCATATAACATAAAAATGGGGAAAATGCTTGTAAATCAAAATTATTCGTGTATAATTATAAATTAGAATTGATATACTTAATTTAGCTTCTGGAACTTATGTAAACGTAATATATCGGAAAGATTTGGTTAAATATTAGTCACTGATATGGTTTTAAATTAGTTTCGATGTGAGTCTGTTAGCCTGTTTCTTGTTTTAATGTTTATGTAAGTTCGCTGACCTGGTGGAGATTGGAAACTTTTTATCCCACTCTCGGACACCAGTGTAAGTTCGCCGACTTCCGGGGAGAATCGTTAATCCCGCGTCAGAATGATCTAGGGTCGAACGCGTGTGGGTGTGGTGGAGGAAACACAGATGACAAGAATCTCACAAAACCCGTTTATTTTATACATAAAATTAAACTTACACCTAGAAACAAGAATTATCTAGATACAGTCGATTGTTTGGACGTCGTGGATGTTTGTCTCTCGTCACTCGGAGATGGGCCCTGTGGCTGCGGCAGGTAAGGAGACTTGTCGGGAGGTGTCGGCGGCACAGCTCTTTCGATTGACACTTGTGCGGACTCTGCGTCTTCTGTGCGTCGACACACACAGAGAGTTTTTGCTCCGGACTTTTTGGAGTGCAAGTACTCAGTAGCACAGTTTACGGAAGAAGTCCCTCTGTCCTTGAAGATCGGGGATTATATCAATCTCCGTTCTCTAATTTGTTTTCTGATTGGCTCCCTCGTCTGTTTCTAAGCGAAAAACGATTCCTTTTCGAGTCACGAGAAAGATCCGCCTTGAAGAATCTACTTGACACCATCCGTTATTCTGGCTGCAAAATGTTGATGGAACTTTGAAACTTGCGCTCATATTTTCCACCATTGTTGTCTAGTCTGTGACGTTTCTGAAATTTAACGACACGACGCGATGTCCTTTTCCGACATTAATCTTTCTTCTTTTCAAAATTTCTATGTTCTAATTATGTGCATATGAACGACTTTTCAAAGGTCCATCTCTACTGGAGGTCGTTTGTTTACAATTATTAATTAATTATTTAAAATTATTACATTCTGTTTACATCAATAAAGTTTTTTTTTTCTCTCATCGCGGTTTCATATGACTAACACAACTAATTCGATCTTTGATCGGTTTTTAACAATAGACGATTTTTTCTAGTTTCTGTTTTAATAAATTTCTAATAGTAAATATTTAATTTCAATTCATTTTTTTGGGTCCTCACATTTACTAAATTCATTGCGGGAAAAGCTATTCACATACATAAGTTATAGAAAATAACGTTTGAATTTTTTCTGCATGCTTCCTTAAACTGGAAATTGATATATATATTAAGCGACGCGGGCCTCAAAAAATATTAATTCTGCCCGAGGACCGCGGGTTGCCCTTCCCTGATATAAATCACGGGTTTAGTTAACCCACAGCGGAAGGCAGCCGAGAATGAGAGTTGAAATCTGACGTATCTGGATCAACCTACCCAAAAATATTCCCGCGTCAATCCAGACTCGAACGCAGTTTTCTGAAAGTGGTAAACTAATGCCAAAACCCGTCCATCACTTTGAAAAAATTAATAGTACCGACGAATCCCAAATTTATCATGGATAGTAGGTAAATGCAAGGCCGAAAAGAAGAAGGAGAAATTGGCGCTACGCCCTGCTTTCCTTCCTCTCTAAGCCTGGGCCCAGACTTTTATATGGGCGCAATTTTGCCAAGAATTTGTACAATAAAATTTTAAAATCTTGAAAATCAATTAATTTAATTTTAAAAGGATAAAAGAAGAGAAAGAAATATGTAATAAACCGAATGTTACGTCAAAAGAAGGGATAGAGTCTAAAAGGGCCCAAAAGGCTTCTAAAATGTCTTGGGTTCCTCTAGGCCCAGAATCCATGGTCGCTTTCTTCTCAACCTCCATGAATGCATAAGTAGTAAATTTGTGACAGTGCATTATTTCATGTTTTCTATTTTTCATTCATTTTATCTGACCTCGTGGCAAATCCAATTTGACTGTAACGGGCAAATAGAGACAAATTAATCAATCACTAGATAAAAATTTATCGTACCTTTTGTTATAGTTTATAATGATTAGAAACTTTTTTATAATTCTCGGCGTGATACACTGATCAATAAATTTTTGACCATAAATATATAATTTTTTAATTATATTTATTCAAAATAAAATATATATATATATAAAAGGTAAGAATATCGATACTAGCGCCATTGGGCGCCAAAATTAAAGCATTGTGATAGAACAGACGATATTTTGGTTGGTATCTCTAGTTTATTGTTCTTTAAAATAAACATTTATTAAATTAGAGAATTTATAAATATGAGAAACGTAGTAACTGCGAATATAATGCGATAATAATTAAAATTTTTGTGTAGATCGTCGGAAAATGGAAGTTATAAACGAATCGAAGTTTAATGACGACTTTGATTTGGCCTTGTTTATAAGTGATGATAGATGTTCAGTTGAAGACGATGGCGACCAAGAAGGGCTTGATTTGTATACTGATCTGCTAACGACGGAATTTCACGAAAATAAATTAAATAATGAAAAGGTAAAGTTAAAACTTTGATATTTAAGTAGGATGATAATATCGTCTACTTAAATACATATTGGGTGGGGCTCCTATTCCCGACTGCTTCTGGTAATTGACCTAAATCTGTATGTAATTAGTCTATCGGAGCGGGTTTAGGTGAGCAGTCTAACCTCCATTTAACTATAGAGTCCTCTGCTTGTGCCATACTTGACAAAACTGGTTGAAGTATACCTAGGTAACCCCAATAACGGCGCTTCGGTTAGGTTAGGTTAGATTAACTATATTTTTAGTAGATGTTTACTTTTTTTTAAATTTTATTTTGTTCAAGAACTACCGTGAATCAATAACTAGTGACGTTAGGCACTCGGTGGCCTGCCGACGGCTCCCCTCTGGGAGGAGTCCGTTGGGAACACAAACAGTCGGGCGTGCCACCATTGGGGTTACCTGGGTATACTTTGACCCAAAACTCTAACAGTTTTGTCAAGTATGGCACAAGCAGAGGACTCTGTAGTTAAATGAAGTGAAGCAACAATCCTCAAGACCACATGTTCCTCATCATTAGCTTTGCACAAAGAAAAAATTGAAATATATAAAAAGTAAATTAAAGGATGGTTATATTAATGCTAGAGATGTAGATGGATTAGTTTCTGCCTGGAAATTCTACATAAAAGAAAAATTTAAATATAAGAATTCTTAGTCTGTACCTGCCCTTATATTTCGATGCATTTTTATGTATTTATTTTATTTTATTTTGTTTTATTTATTTTATTTTATTATTTATATCGCTGTTGCTTCAGTGTATTTAGTACATTTTATTTTGTTATTTATTTGCTAATTTATCTATTATTTTCATTTTAAATTTGAATGTATAATGTTCGAATGTTCCATTGTTACAGTTTTAAAATACGTTCAAACTCATTTACACCTGAGGATGGCCTATTTCATGAGGCTGAAAATGTTAGTGTTTATTAAATAAACATTTCTCAGTAATGGAAGGTGTTTATAATGTTTCATTAAGTGTTTTAAAAATGCTGAGTTTGATATTTAGTTAACAAATATGAATTTAATATTAAGTAAATAGGCTTTATGATGATTAATTTTTTATATAAAAATTTATTTATGGTCAATTGAACATATATGGTTATTTTCATTGTATATCTTCTTATAACAAGAAATTTTACTCTCACATCACAACAAACATGCATACTTCTGTTAAGATCAGGACCAATGTCTATTAATCATTGCTTAAATGATTTTAAAGTATTAAATAATTCTTTTAATGTAATTGCACTTTGAAACAATTCTTCATCTTCATCACATTCCTTTACTTCTTCATACGTGGTATTCAATTTGCAGAAGAATGTCACCCAAGTCTTGCATACAATTCCAATAACTTATGAACATTTCCTGTATCATGGATCTTTACTAAAAGTAGCTATTTCTTCTATGATATTGTTTACAGGAATTTCAAATGTTGAAAACTTTTTATTAAGAGATGATAAGAAGGTACTGGTACATACAGATATTCACTCACATAAGTAACAAACTCTATTATTAAGGAAGATGACAAAGAATAATGGACTGGAATACCCACTGAACATTATTATTAATTAAATATAACCGCAATATCAAAGCCACTAATATCATTAGCACATTCTTCAAAAGTTTTTCCAAACATCTCTCCTGCAGTTGGATGTTATTTCTTCCCATGTGTCATGAATACTTTCTATTTTATGCTTAATATTAAATTTTTTCCAAAATTCTTGAAGAGTAATAACAGCATCTTCTCTTTTCATAGCTTCAATTGCTTGTGAGAGTTTCTCTAATAAAATAAGTCTTGAAAGTTGGAATGATACCCTGGTCCTTACACTATAATAAATAAGTTGTATTTGGCAATAAAAAAGACAACCTGCAGATTATCACACAAGTCATCATGCAGCAAAAGAACTTTGAAAGATAAATTATTAACTTTACATTTCAATTTCTACAAAAAAATAGGACTTGAATCAGTCTTCAAACGTGGATTGGGTGATCCATCCCTTCTATTTGATTGTCAGATAACTGGTATTACTTCTTGCATTCTTACAGTTCTAAGTTTGATAAAGAACTAATTGCGTTAAAATCTCCCTCAGCATTGTCTCCAAATAAAAAGGTTGTGTGATTTTCAAATGCTTTATAGCTAGATTGTTATACTGCTTTTTACCAAAAACATTTTAGATGGCATTTTCTTCCAATAAAGACCATATTGGAAATTTAATGCTTATCAGAGTTATTTTCTTCAATTATTTTTTGTAATTCAGCAGAGAATTTGGATGTTACGTCTAAATTTGCACTTGCAGTTTCTTCTGTTATTTTATAACATTTTCTGTTTCTACTCTAGATTTAATTGTTTAATTACTTCCAGTTTAATTTCAAAATAATCACTTTCTTTTACTTTTTTTTAATTTTCTATTGTAACATCACTATATAGCTTATTCATAACAAGAGATAAATATTTGTAAATGTAAGTAAATGAAAAACAAGTAGTTTGTTACTTGTAACGTGAATAAAACATCCATTCTTACTTGGTATCTGTGAAAACTGAGTCTTGTAGCAATCTTTTAAGTGGCAGAATGTGATAGAAGACCAATGATGATCAAAATTTTGAATGCATAATTTAAGAGATGGTTTCAATTAATTTAACTGTAATTATATCTGATATAAATTTCCTTCGTTAATACTCTTCAATTATTGCTGGTTGTGTGTAGATTTTGAGTATACATTAGCCTTTTCTAACTACCTACTACTTAAGATATAATTTATATGTTAGGTTAAAGTTAATGAATTTTTTAATGCATGATATTGATAAAGTTTTCATTTTAATGTTTTATGATTTTTTTAAGGTTTTTGAAGATTATCAAAAATTAGAAGCAGAAAATTTAAAATTACAAGATCAATTAAAAGCCATAAACTCCAATTTAGAAATATTAAAAAAACAGAATATTAAATTGAAATATAATATCTCTTCATTATATAAGACTGCTAAAGAAGAAATTGATAGAAAAGATTTATATATTCAAGAGCTTAGAGAAAGGTAATATCAAATTTCCTAATGTGCCATCTAGAATTTAATAAAAATTTTTAGTTGTAATATTAAAGTATGTTCAAATTTTACATCTATAATTTTTTCCTGTTTATTTATGCTTTAACTTTATTATATAGTGAAGCTTTTTGTCTTAAAATAGATTTATTTATATTCAATAATTATGTGTTAAGTATAATCACATAATTGTTCATTAAGTATAACCACATAGTTATTGGATATAAAGAAATTAACTTTATTATTTACAAACATTAACTCCATGTCAGTTTTACCAAACCACTAATTTTAACAATAAATGTAAATTTTATTCTTACTATATATTCCAATGTTCACTAATATTATTTGACAAAATTAATGTCAATTGCATCTCTACATCTTTGGTTTTCAATGCTCATACTTCTTTTCCCTTGATAACTTAGAAATCTTCTATTATGGACTTTAACATTTAGTTTCCAGATTGCATTTAAACATATAAATTCATTTTAAATGATAATGCTTTTCAATATTTCTTTTCTCTTTTTTCATTCTTTGAGATAAAAAATTTCTAAATGTCTCGACTTTTCTGATTGGTAAAACTTTTAGAACTATTTTTGCACAAATTTTTTGTTTCATTAATTCACCATTAAAATTCTTCTATTTTTCAATGATTGGATATCTCTGCACCAAACTCTATTCTCATCTCTTTTTTATTTGGTAAAATATGTTTAGTCTTTTTATCATTAAAATCTTTCTTATTGAAGAGAAGAGAGATTTTAATGAAAATATTACAATATTACTTTAATATTTTAACAATATATACATCTAATTCTGTTTTTACATGATAGATTGGTTTCCAAAAATTATGTGTAAAAAAATACATTGTATATATGGAAAATGAATTATAAGAACATAAATTTTACTTGAAAAAAAAAATGTAAAGAATTAGTAAACATAAAAATTGGGCAGAATATGTAATGTGAGTTACACATAAATATTTTATTTGCTGTCACTTTCTGACAATAAATGCATACATTTGCACATGATTACAATATCACTGCTATCATCAAAATGCTTTGGTTATTGTGTTCTTTGTCTACAGATGAAGTTCTTTCTGTTAATTCCTGAACAATGTTAGCAATAATGTCCTGTGGTCTGATGTTACAGTGATTTTATGAATGAATTCAGTTATTAATGGCTGGGTTCATATTGTGGCTAGGCTTTTATATAATTCTCTATAACAATGATGCCCAAACTGTGGCTAGCGAGCTGCATGCAGCTCTTCAAGAGCTTAATTGTGGCTCAGCTAATAAATAAAAAATATTTGTTATTTTTTAAAATTTATCTCTGCAAGGCATGAATAAGAATATTTCAGAATTTAGTCAAAGCATTTTCAGTTTTAAAAGAAAAATACCACTTTTAACAAAGGGATATAACAGAAAAGACATTCGATAACTTTCCTCACTTAAAAAAAGCTATTTCAGAATTTGGTACTCCTCCTGTAACCATCATTTACTATCAAACAAAATTAAAAATACCTGTTGAACAATTTTGAAGAATGATTTGCAGATTTAGTAGCATTAAAACCATCAATTGCATTTTTATTAAATCTGTTTGAAATCAATGTGATTAACAATGGTTCTACATTATTAAAATGCTTACTTCCTGAAACGGTATCAAGAGAATTAGAATTAATTGAAATGCAAGAAGATCAAGGACTCCAAATGTTACATAAATCAGCAAAATCAACCAAATAATTTTGGAAATGTGTATTAATAATTAAGTACAACAATTTAAAAAATGAAGCATATCATTTACTGTCAATGTTTTGATCAACATATGCTGTTGAATCATTGTACTCAACGATGAAATTGATTAAATTGGAGTTCTGTTCACAGTTAACCAACCAACATCTAAAACAATTAATAAGAAGTTCAATTTCTAATTATCAATCTGATTATCAAAAATTAATTCCAACATTACAAATTCATAAACCTTCAACTGGCAAAGAGTAAATAAAAAAATATAATAAATATGTAATAATTGTCAAAATAAATACATTATGATTCTGACTTTAATTTTTATACCAAGAACTATAGGCACAGCTTCCAATATTTTCAGGTAGGTAACTATGGCTCTTACAGCAAAAAGTCTGGGCACCCCTGCTCTGTAAGACATTAATAATTTCAGATAATGTTGAAACGTTAAAAGCTCATTTCTCATTAGGATCACACTTCACAAATTATTACAGTCCCTCCCTATAACACTGTTGATTATTCCGTTTTATATGAATTCCATGTTGTACGAGTCACTTAGATTTTACAAATATGTGAGCCGTTTACAGCCCGGCACACATATCATGTTAAATCAAAATCGCTTAAAAAAAAGTGTGTGTAAAAACAGAATTAGGTGTAGTTTACATTCTGTATTACTATCATATATTTATACATATAACTCACAGATTATCATGTTTAAAAGTCAAGTTGAAAAGTGCATGGGTTATGCAATTGAGTGGTGTATATGCCAATTTTAAATTACAATCAGAAACTCACACCTATGTAGCAATGGCTGCTACCATATTTGTGGGATTTATACTGGGGCATTCTATGTGAAAGTTTTATTTTTGTTTCAGCAATTTTCTGTTTGTGGGTTATATGCACAAAAACATGATAAATGTTTTAATGCTACTGTTGTTATTGAAATTATACTTACATCAATAAAGTATAATTTATTATACTTTATTTTATTGTTAGAAAATCAGGGAAATACTTCATCAAAATCTAGTAGCATGTAATTAAATTTTGCATTTTATTCTAATTTTTTAAATATTTATTTAAATGTAAATATTAAATATATTTTAATATTTATTAAATATAAAAATATATTTAATGTGAATGCATTAATAATTTTTTTATCAATGCAGAGAGGTCTTGTTATTGCCTTTGGAAACTTGCACGGTGTATAAGTTTGCAAAGTGCAAGTTTTAAACCGGCTCTTCAGTTCTTATTGTGCAGAAATCACAATCTTCTTCATTATATTTTTAAGACCTTTAAATGTGCTATTTTCTCAACTGAAATTCTATACTTACTTGTTTTTATTCATTCTTATTTCTTTACTGTATTTCACAAAACACAAGAATTTCTAATTTCTACAAAAAACAATTTCTGTTTATGACCTTTTTAATATGAAGTTGATATACACTTATACAAGTTGATATAATATCAATATTATATATATATGATATTGATATACAATATATATCAACTTTATATATATATCTTTTTATTATTGGGCTGGAACAGTTTTAGGGAAATTAAATTAAAGACCACAGATATGGAAAGCTTAGGGGTAGGAGTTCCCGATTAACTGTATATGAACTTCTGGTGCAAATCAGAAGCCATGTTATTTCAATTCAAAATTTTCCTTGAAAGAAGTTAGATAGATGATCAACACGACTCCATTGCTAATGGAAATAGGGGCAAGACACTACAGTACTAATCTGAGGTGGAGGGCATATATTTTAAGTTAAATAAATTAAAAAATATGATTAAAAATTGCAGCCCAGCATTGTGACAATGTCACAATAAACAATTGTTTTCTTGATTAATTTAAATCATGTATTTGTGCTCTAATATTTATTGGTTCTTCTTTATTTTTCATCTTAAATTTTTATATAATCATCAATAGCTATTTTATTATTATTATTTTTTTTATTGTCTTTCTTTAAATTCTAAAGTGATTAATGAATTTATCAAAATCTTTACTGGGTGAAACTGGACTAAACTGAAAGTAATGATTAAAAGAAATTTCTATGGTAGACAGAATTGCTATTTTTTAATATAAAAGTTTGATCAAAATGTTTAGGGATGTGGACCACAGAGGGCATTACAATCAACATTAGAAACTTTGCTGTGGTGGGAAGGCACTGCAGCTTCCTGTTATAGACTGCTAAAGTTTTATAGCAATTCATTCATTAATATTTGAGTAACAGCTTCACAATTTTTAATTTTAAACTATGTTACATTAAAGAATAAAGAACATGAATTAAATTTTGTTGAAAACTTGAAAAAATGGTGCAGAAATATATGTGGAAGCGTTAATTCTCAGTTAATTCTCACCGACAGAACAAAAGACGCAGAACACGTGATTGAGCTTTTTCAAATTTCCAACAAAATTTAAGTCACATTCTTTATACTTTAATCTTACACATTTTAAAACCAAAAATTGTAAAAAATTATGCAGTCATTAATCAACTTTATAATATTAATAACAAAATATTAATAATAAAATTAAACAAATATTAATAGATGAATCAATACAAAACTTGAGCAGTCTATAGCAGGAAGTTGATAATTCCTTCCCACCATGGCAAAGATTCTGATGTTGATTCTAATGCCATCTGTGGTCCAAGTTCCAAACTTTTTGATCACACCTTTTATTAATAGATAGAAATTTTGTCTATCTTTTGTGTGTATTCATAGTCACAGGGTGTCCTGTGACCATAAGTATGGAACCATGGGTTATGTTCATTTTTGTTTATTCTTTTACAGGTGAAGAAGCATGGAAGTGTTTAGGGAGAAACAAATTCAAGTTATTTTGATGATGGGAATCAGCAGTCAGTGAGTTATCAAGGAGTTTAATAGGCTGCATTAAAATCACTGTGTGCAGTTGGTGGGAAGTCTGGATGCAGCCTGTTAAACTCTTTGGCATCTTCACACTGACTATGTATCAAAATAACTTGAATGTATTCTTCTTTACTCAACACATTGTCTCACCTGTGAAAAAATTAACAAAGAACAACTTATTTGGTTCCAGACTTATTGAGTATTTGAATTTAATTAATCATTAAACAATGAGTATTTCTGTTATAAATATATATTAATTGTAAAAATTGACTTTTAAAACGTTTATTTCATTTAATTTAAATATTTTTTTAGTTTGGATCGTATGATATTTCGAAGAAGACAATTTTCAGAAAAATCTTCAGTAAGTGAAAACTGTGAAAACAATTGCAGAGATGTCAGAAAAGATACTACAAACAAAAAATCTGTAGATAATAGAAGTTATGTTTCTAATGATATAAATAATAATACTAAAAGTGTTAAAAAATTATCTAATCATTCCAAAATAAAACATGATCAATATGACAAAGTTGGCTGTCATAGTAATTTGAAAAATTCAGATTATGGAGTTCTACAAAGTTCTAAAGAAACTTCTAATTGTTTACGCTCAAATGATAAAGATTCAAAAAGTTTTCAAAAAGAAAGGGAAACATCTCATCATTTACATTTGAGATATAAAGAAAAAGATAAATCTCATCACAAACATAGAGAAGATAGGAGCAGAAGATCAAAAAGTAATGAACGATTTCATCACAGGCATATGACTGACACGAAAAGCAAAAATGTATACCAAGATTATAAGGAAGAACATTCAAATAAAGAAAAGAAATTAAGAATGATATGATTATGTAGGCTATTTAATTAATTGTTAATTCAATTGTAATTTTATCTTAAACTAGCAAACATTTTAAAATTTTTAAATAACCTATTTAATTTATTTTAATTGAAGTTAATTTTATTAATTTAATTATACTAAACAGTTAAATTCTGATCCTGTAATTTTTTAAATAGGTTATGTATAATATTGATAATTTTAAAAATATACAATCTTTCTAAAGATATTTGTTATGATTATACATTTTATTTAGAATCATTATTGTGTATAGACTTAAACACATTGATGTTTACAATTAATAAATTTCATAATATTAAATTTTATAAGAACACTTGAAAGACTTTTTATTTTGCTTTACTATCTTCTAAATTTAAAATAGATTTAATTAATTAAAAATTACTACTATGCATTTGAGTTTTTGTGAATATACTATATTTAATTTAATTCAAAACTATTAATCCCAAATAAAAATTTCACATCCAACCTTAGAATTAAAACTAGTAATAAAACTATGCTCTTAGTAAATTTATAAGGAGAATTATTAGTTCATTAACGAGATCCTGCATGCTTCTTAGGTTTTTATTTAAATTTATATAAATGAATATTTTCTGCGTAAAACTTTATTAATTTAATACTTAAAGTTAATCTTTATATTTATTAAATTTTGAAATATATCAAAATATAATTTCTAAATCTAATTTCAATAAGTGCTTTTTATAAATTTATTATGATCAATAATTAATATATAAAAAGTTATAGAGTAAATAAAACATCTTATTTATCTTATTTCTAAAAAAATAGTTTTACATTTTGAGATAACATTTAAAAATTTTAAACAATAAGAATCATGCCACATGCTTGTTCTTTAAGACCAAAGAAAGCAATAGAAAAATATCACTTTCTTGGTCTCTTCTGAATTAGATATTTCAATCTTCATTGACTATTTTTAGAATTGAAATATTTGTCAAGATATATCTTACCACTTTCAAATGACTGATATCTACTTTTCTGACTGTGGTATTTCCCTCTTTCTGTAAGTCTTCTCAATCCTAATTGAGAGTTTTCATTACAAATTTTAAATGCTCAATATTGGCTTTTTCTAAATTAGATTAGTTAGATTTGTTGGAAGATCACTACTTCAATTATAATGGATGTGATAAATTCAATTTATTCTTTTTCTTTTTTGTTGACAGATTTTACTTTTGTGGATGTTACAGAATATAACTTAGAGTTGGTATGGTAATCGGTCAAATTTCGACTCCCCCCTTTTATTACATTTCGCGACGTTTTGACACTCCAGGAGCCCAAAAATGTAAAAGAAAAAAATACATCCTTACAAAATTCTGTATGTGCATGCATATGCTTGTGTGTATTTTGCATTATATCTCAGGACTGGATGAATTAAAACTTGAAATTTGGCAGTTGTTATTTCTATATACTAGAGTATTGATGCTATTAAATTTTGGTAATTAAAGGTCAAGGTGGTGGGAGATAGAAAGGAGGGAACATGTTATATCTCATATGGGGCTAAACTTAATGAAAATTTTACTCGATGGCATTTACAATTTTTCAATAAACTCGTTTCTACCCTCAAAATTAAGCCTTTTGGCTTTTATAATAATAATAATAATAATAATCCTTCAGAAACAGGCAGCTATACACACATCACTTATACTCAATAGAGTGCTTGGAGATNTTTAAATATATTTTTTAAATAGAGAAATTTATCATAATTGAATAAAATTACTCCTTTTAAGCTTTTTGTTATTTTTCAAATTTCTCACAGGAGAGAATTTTCTCATGTCACTCTTACATTTTAATAAAATCTATATCATTCAATAGAGAGAGAGAGAGAAAATAAGATCATATTTTTTCTTTGTTAGGTTAGCCATTTGTGATAAACAGAGTTCTAAAATGTTCTAATGCAATTCATATAGAAATATAATTGTTATTAATGGATAAAAAACTGCTTTTCCGAAGTTATTGGTGGCAAAATAATACTCTTACAAGATTTATGGACTGGACAAAAGAATTCTGTATTGTATACTGAAAATTTTCCAGATGGAAAGAGCATGTATATTTACTATCTCACCAAAAGTGACAAAATATGTACAGCTTCTAGATGTTCATTTCTTTAGGTAATTGAGATTATAACAAGAACAATACGGGAAATGATTAGAGTAGAAGTTGGTGATGACATTTTTAAATTAAAGAGCTTTAAATTTTCTATTATTTATCATTTACATATAATCAATTTATGCTCCTATTTTGAAATGCATGGCAGAAAATGGAATGTGTGATAGAACATTAAAAGTTTTTCAAATGTTATTGACATAAATTTTACATTTTTTGAAATAAAGAATTTGTTAGAAATTGTGATAGAAATGCCTTCAATTCGTAGCTTGTTGTAAACAATTAATTTGTCTTAAATATTGTATTTTCCTTTACATTTACATTAAACTATAAAAAGTAAAAACCATGAGCAGAATCAATATGTGGCAGGAATTGATCCTTCGACATAACCAGTCCGGTCACAACATTACCACTGTGCAATTGGTGTATGTTTCTGTATGAATTGCATTAGAACATTTTAGAACCTATTTCTCTCAAAAGGCTGACCTGACAGAAAAAAAAAATACAAATCTTATTTTTTTCCCCTGTATTGAATGAATCTCATTCAAAGATGTTAAAGTTTATTCTAATGAAATCATTATGATTTTGTTTCTATTTTTAATGAGGGTTTTTCAGAAGTATCATTTCTTGATATGTATGAAAAAATATAAAATTGTTTTAGTAATTAAAATTTAGATTGCATTGCCTGTAAGAAGCCTCGTAATAAACATTAGTTTTTAATGAGTCTTTGATGCATTTACAAAATGAGAATCTTTTCAAGAATCAAAATATCAAATTTATATTAATTAAATATTTTTTATTAATTAATATGCAAAAATGATATATAAACAAATTTATTTATATAATTGATTTGCAAAAATATTTATTTTTTTAATTTTAAATGATTTAATATTCTAAATATTAATTGTGTTGTTAATATGTTAAGTTTTATTACTTAACAAACACAGGGTTGGCTTATTAGAATATAAAAAAGTTTGATATGCAACACTTAAAGACAGTTTATTTTGATTGAAACACCAAAATAATGAGCAAATATTTACTGTGATCATGTCATCACAATGCCAGGCTGCAATTTTTAATCATATTTTTTACTTACTTAATTTAAAATATATGCTCTCTACCTCAAATTAGTGGTGCATGGCCCCTGTATATCATACTTTTCCTGTTAGATAGATGACTGTCATGACTCTATTCTAATTCCTTTCAGGGAGAAATTTTTTAATTGAAATAAGATAGTGCACCAGAAGTTTGCATTTTGTTAATCGGGGCCCACCTACCCCTAGGCTTTCCATATTGGTCTCAGCTTTCATCTAAGTAACTCTGTTCTCGAGATTAAGGAAAGGTGGACGGACAACAGTGGGAATTTATATTATATATGTAGATAAGCATTACTTATATATTGTGTTGGATATTCCTATTTCATTTATATGTTGTTTCCTTTCTGATGAAGATAGCAAATATGGCAGTATTCTTTTAAAAACACTGGCAAGAATAGAACAAAAAAATTCATTTCTAAAATTAAATGGTGTAAAATTGACTCCACCGAGTGGTACTTTCTCAGAAAGGGAGAAGTAACAAGATTGTTTAATTACATCCATTAACTGACAATTACAATATAGAGGGAATCTGTGAACTCTTGCTATTACAGGATACCACAAAGTATGTTATGGCCTAATGATTAGTGGTTTACATAGTAGTTAATTAGAGCCATATTAATGTTACTAAATATCAAGTAATTTGGCTTAATAGTAGTCATTAGGTGCCATCTCTTAATATATTTAATAACTATAATTAAATTCTTAATTAAAGAAGGTTCTGGAAGAAAAGAATTGCCAAAGCAGAATCCCAACTTGCAACTCCTGCATACCATATAGTATTCTAGTTATCTTATTAATAATGCATAATCTAAAAGTCAGGTTTATATTTGTATAAAGTATGTTACTTTAACAAAAGTTGCTTTGGGAAGAACTCTGAATGGTTCTTAGTGGATATTCTATAAGTTTTTTGTAGGAGCAGTATATCATCCATTAATGGTACATTTTTAGCTTGTTTACATTAAGTTTATTTTTTTAACGTTATTCAGATAATTCAGAACCTATAATAATTAAAGATACTGGACTTAGATTTATGCCACAAAATTTAATCTTTATAATATGCTTTTTATTTTATGTAAGTCTAGGTATGCCATCTTTGTACTGTATTATGTATATAATTTGCTAAAATTTGAAAACCTGGAGTCAGATTCAGAAAATTTCTGGAGTTTTTCCTGATTCTGAATTCTTGCAATGTTCAAGAGGAAAAAGTTAACTTAATATATGGATAAAGCAGATTGTCTTCCACTAGATGGCTTTCCTATGCAAATTTGATTGATTTTTACTTATAAAGACAAGTCCCCATTGGGCAAAACTCTAATGCATTGAAATTTTATGAAAAATATTGCACAAGTTTATTCCATGAACAAATTTAGAATTTTTTTTTTTAGATAAAATTAGTGATGCTACTTATAAACATCAGAACTTTTATTCTGCTCAAAGCTTTAATATTTGTAAAATACATAATTTGACAGATAACATATACAATTTATAACTAAATATGTTATGTAATCTGTGACTCAATTGCTGTTACATAGTCAAACAATTTCATTTCCCACAACAAAAATTACAGGATAATTTTTAAAATAACAATTAACAAAAAATTTATTCTCTTATTTGATAATATAACAACTAAATATCTTAAAGAAATTTTCAAATGAATGAAAATTAACAATATAAACATATTTACATTTTTATAAACTGTCGGCGCAACAAAAATTATTCGTATCGACCGTAAACAGAGCCTCGCCATTTCCCCCTCGTTTTTAAAGTCGAATCTCCTGATCCTCCTTTGAATTTGAAAATTGTCCATTCATGAGAAAAAATACTCTCGCTGTTTTCTTCACGCCAGTGGCTATTTGATTTTTTTCTCCTAATTTGAAATTTAGAGCGCATATCACGCAACATGGCACTGAGATTGACACTTAGATATGAATGTCTTTTATAAATTTCAATATCTAATATAAATTAGTTTTATCACTTTGTTTTGTATATTTTGGTTTATATAATTGTGAATTATCTAAACACAATGTTCATTTTTTGGACACAGTTTTTCCAAAACTTCAATTTTGTCATTTTAGTTATTTGTCGTGTCGTTTAGATATGATTTTTCAAATCAAAAACTGTATCCGCCGACTGGCGCCTTCTGATCCACGACTGCAAACTGGAACTGCTGATTATTTTCATCAATGGCTGGCACTATGTCTTCTATGTCCTCTTCTGTTCCAAAATAATGTTCTATAATGTGGAGTGCCTTCTTATAAATATCCGCATTATTATGCGATTGTAGAAACTCTATTTTATCTAGACCTGTAAGCAAAGTAAAGTTTAGTAGGAAATAGATTAGTGTGTGGTTAGAACAAACGTATAACTCACCGTAGCATTCCTCAATCATGACACCATAGGGATTAACTCCACCATTGTTTCTCGAATCTTTTTCACCTAGCCTTAATATGTTTTCTAAACCATTCAGAGCAACTAAGACAATCTTTGGATCCATTACTGTCAATAGCTCACACAATGGAGGAATACATCCTTTCTCTACTAAATATCTGTAAATCAATCAATCAATGTAATATGTTTAACAGTATAAGAAGAAAAATTATCATGGTTTTAGAGAAAAATTATGATACTGTTGACTTTAATTACTTATAACAATCATATCAAGATTATGTTTAATAATTATTAAACCAAAATAAATGTTATTGTTAATTGTCTACTTGGACTTTACTTATTAATAGGACTTAATACTGGTGTTTAAAGATTGGCACAGCAATGAGAGTTAGTTCAGGAAAGAACAAAATTGCTTTATTATATCACCTGTAGTAGTAATTTCTGTACACATACGTGTTTCGGGCTAGCATGCCCCTCATCAGCAGTACTATTACCATACACTAAAAATGTAACAACAATAAAACAAATAAGTTACAGTATAAGTTAAAAAAATTCTTCACTTAGCCATAAAAAAAACAATTTTAAAACTTACAGTAAATACATATTCCAATCCCGAGTATAAATGTATCTTTATTTGTTTTATTGTTGTTACCTTTTTAGTGTATGGTAGTAATACTGCTGATGAGGGGCATGCTAGCCCGAAACACATATAATATGTGTACAGAAATTATTACTACAGGTGATATAATAAAGAAATTTTGTTCTTTCCTGAACTAACTCTCATTGCTGTGCCAATCTTAAAAACCAGTATTAAGTCCTATTAATAAGTCCAAGTAGACAATTAACAATAACATTAGAATTAAGGACAGTAAGGCTTTTACAATTACAAATAATCTTGATATAATATATTTTATTGTTTTATATTAGTCTATATGAAAAAACTACAATTGAAGACAAACAGAAATTGTGATATTTTTATACATCCTTCATGGCAACAGAGAAACAGTCTTTTCAACTGTGTTCCTGTAGCTGTTAAGTACCTGTAAGAAGACTACAGATTTTAATGTCTGTCTTCAATTGTAACATTTTTGTAAATGATTAAAAAAAATCCAAATGACTTTTTATTTTATCCAAAAATTAGCAGCATTATTAATTATTTGTTATTTTCCTCAATATTTAAATATTCTCAAATAGTTTCTTTGAATGAAGTCTGACTATAACAAAAATTTATATTTGACAATACTTTTTAATTAAATTAATTAAGATTCTACATAATATTTCTTGTACAAAAAAAGTTTACATTCCCACATCAGAAATTAGCCCAACATTTTACACACAATCAACAATCCACAAAAATGACAAAGTTTCTTATACAAGCATCACATACACAAAACCCAAAACCACACCAGAGACCTTACACAATACAAACCAATTGCATGTTGTTGTGCACTTTACAAAACACTTGCTTCATGCATCACAAATAAAATATAACACAATATTCTCCCAAAACAACAAAATAGCTGTAGAAACCGTACATGTGACACACAGAACAATTAATCTTAAACTTTAGTCATTATATGACAAGTACGCAAACAACCTGTAATCAATACTATATTGTAAGGAGTCAAATAAAAAAATGTTTCCTTTCACTAGGATGATTTTTTTTTAATTCTAAAGCATAAGTTAATCTCTGGACTGCCCTCATATATTCAGGTCTAGAATAATAAACAGATTTTTTTCATTATCATACTAATTATTTTGAGTTTTTGATTTATTAATAATTTTTCGTTACTCATTGCCTGCGTAAAGTCCAGGACTGGCATTCTTGAACGCTTGTTTATGTAACACCCTGTCAGAAAACTATCTGAGCTCTGGATAGAAATCTATATATTGTAACACCTTATGAAGTCATTTGACAGCATCCCATATTCACGGTTATTATGGATACATTTGTAAAGTCTAATGAGTTAAATGTGTTACTAACGAGTTGGTCATAAAGTATAAATTATACTCAGTATGCATGCTCGATGTTAGTGATGTTTCAAACAAAACTCTAATGAAATTCACAAAGGAGAGAGTTAGTTTACTTCGTGAAGAAAATGGCACCCAGCAATATCAATATTTCTATATCTACTCAAGTGATTACATTGTGGATTAAAAGGCGAAATGATACAAATAACTGTCCATCAGAAGCAATCTAAGAAAAATATTTCAGATAGGACTGCATTAGCAACACATGTATGTTTAATTTTAGAAACTGCCATTTTGTTGTAAACAAATTGGTTGGAATATCTAACAAAAGTACGAATAACAATGACATCATTCTCATTTAACTCATTCGACTTTATGAGCGTACCTATATATGCTATATCTGTACAAAATACATTTGTTATTCATTATATTTCTAGAAAACACAAAGCAACACTGGAGAACAATAATACATCCCAGACTGTGCACAATGGACCTTTCAGGTTAAGAAGCATTTGGCCTACTGGTCCCCACTTGCACAATAGCACCCCAGACTTCATATGCATGTTGAAACAAACCAAATACAAGGCAAGGAATTTTCCAAGATTCCTTAAACCTATTCTGGTTCTCCTGGCCCGAAATCTACTATCTAATAGGTTAATGTATTCATATATTATGTTGTTTCAACATAACAGAACAACAAAATGTTTATGATATGGAGTAGTCTGCATATATCGTCTAGCGCTTCCTCTGGTACCAAATTGTTTCATAATTTATTAGTATTATAGCCGTTATCTAGCCTGATGACATACAGCATTGATTGGCTTGTAGTTTTATAATGTATGAGGTTTTAGTGTTTAACCTGTCCCGTGTTGACCTCATTTGACCTGACTGTTGACCCTGAATATACTCATTTCTGCATCAATGTTTTTGATACTAGATGTTGCTATGTGTCATAATTTTTATATTAAAACAAACTTTTGGAATATAATTGTTTTTGTTTTTATATTTTTCAATATATTTATTTTATTTCTGCAAAATAAAATAATAATTTTTAACAATACAGTAGCCATGATTATTATTTAAAAGAAATATTTTTTTCATTAGGCTTAACATCGACAAAAATTTATTATGATCAATAATTAATATATAAAAAGTTATAGAGTAAATAAAACATCTTATTTATCTTATTTCTAAAAAAAAAGTTTTACATTTTGAGATAACATTTAAAAATTTTAAAGAATAAGAATCATGCCACATGCTTGTTCTTTAAGACCAAAGAAAGCAATAGAAAAATATCACTTTCTTGGTCTCTTCTNACTAACTTTTGAAATATAATTGTTTTTGTTTTTATATTTTTCAATATATTTATTTTATTTCTGCAAAATAAAATAATAATTTTTAACAATACAGTAGCCATGATTATTATTTAAAAGAAATCTTTTTTTCATTAGGCTTAACATCGACAAAAATTCAACATGGCAGCCACATGCAATGGAGAAAAGTTTAAACATGGGATAAGTTTCTTTATTCATATTTTCAGAGCTGACACATTTATATAGTAAGGATGATATCTACCATTATGTGGTAGATATCATCCTTTGTGAGATGTGTTTTGCTATAAGATGCATTTTGCATGTAAGCAGCAGTAGTCTAAAGTTATTGCAAACATGCAGAGCATGCCTGTCTGCCCATTATACCAAGAAAGAAGATGGCAAGCACATCACCCTGGAATCAAAATTTGCCGCTGAAGTGAAAGAATCTAGATTCCTTGGTCAAAAAACAATTTTAAGAATGCTCAATTGGCTGGCAAAATTCTTATGCTTTGGGATGTCAAAGGGGTACTGTTTTCAACTTCCAGACTGAAAGCTGCCATTCAACAAAAAACCAAAGCCTTATCAGTTCAGGTCCTTCTTGATAAAGCTGCAAGACAGCAACATCATCCCACATTGCCAAATTCAGAAATTTGTAATAGTTTCTAGAAGTTTGACTTCTGATAATAACTTCTGATTCAATTTATAACGCTAAATTTTTGTTAAATAAGTAATTTAATATTTACTTTTTTTTTGGATAGGAAACATCATCAGTAGTTATTTTCAACTTACCTAATTTGCTTTGGCGAACCTCCCGACGTAGCATTAGTAATTGCCCAAGCTGCTTCTTTCCTTGTTTTAAATTCTGCTTTTGTCATTATTTCAGTCAAAATTGGAAATATTTCAGCATCAATTACAGCCTACAAAGGAGGGAGGTTTTTAATTATTATTATTATTAACTGAAAAATAAATTTAAAATGTTTGTTAAATAATTTGAAANATACCTTAAACCTAGTCTTTCTTTTCACATATAAATATTAGTTGTGATTTATAAGATTTTGTTTTTATGTTGAATCAACCTTATTGAATTCTTAAGCTGGAACTAATGCATAACAGAAAATTCACACCTTTCTCTCACTTTCCAGCAGCAACAGCTTAATAAACATGTTTTGAGCCAAATTCAGAGATCTGTGTCAGGTTAAGCATATACAAATATATCAATCTACTATGAAAATAGAGCATTAGTTGTAATTTGTTTATATATTTTTTTATCATCATTGCTTTTCAATGTTTTTAATACAAATATATAATACATTGAAACTTATTAACTGAGAAAAAGCACATTTCAGAAAATAAGAATATAAGTTAGAAGTTGTAACATCAGACTGATTCTTTACATATACAGTAGAGCATCGATTATCCGAAACAATTTGGGACTGGGGTCGTTCGGATAACTAATCACGTATGAAAAAATATATTAACCCATTCCATGTTGAAATTTTTCTCCATTGCATGTCGCTTCACATTAAATTTTCACTGATGTTAAGCCTAACAAAAGTTTTTTTAAAAATAAAAAATGTGGCAGCATCAATTACAGCCTACAAAGGAGGGAGGTTTTTAATTATTATTATTATTAACTGAAAAATAAATTTAAATTGTTTGTTAAATAATTTGAAAAAAAACTTAAGAAAATAGAGTTCTCATTTTCATTATAAAATGTTTTTAATCTACGAATGTAATTACACATAAAATCAAACCTTATAGTAAAAAACAAGTGATAGCACCAAATTTTAATAGGGCTAATTAATTAAAATTTATCAGTCATTAAAATTTGGCATTATTCTTTGTTTAACCTAAATACACTGTATACCTGTATCTGTTGTCTGTTTCCTGCAGTTATGTTTGATATAGTCCAACAAGCCTCTTTACGAATCGATTCTTTGGGTGAAGACAACAATGCTAGGAGACACGGGAGGGCATTACAGTTTAAAATTACCTGCGTCTGGACGTCGTCTCCCGTGACAATATTTCCAACCGCTCTTAGTGCGGCAGACACCACATTCTGGTTGTTGTACCTGTTTTTATATAAAAAAATTCAGATTGAAATAATACTTAAGTAAAGAATAAAACAAAGGTAACTTATTTACATTAGCAATTCCACCAATCTATTGCACACTCCAGAATCAATAACTGTTTGTATTTTCAAATTTGGACCATCTGAGAGATACGATAAAGCCCAACATGTATCCGCTAGAACGTCGCCATCATTATGAAACAATAACCTTGCTAAGGCTGGCAAACAAGGAGATACCTACAAATATATTGAAAATTAATATTTCTCAATATTATATAAAACCTAAAAAAATATTAAAATGGTCACTTAGTAATTCAAATTATAACAATAAAAATATTAGTATTAAATTTCATTCATTCTGTATTACACTTCTTGCTTGAACTAATTTTGTAGACTAAGTCCTTTTAGAATAACTTTCAAAGTTTGTCTTGCAGCATAAGTAGTAGTTAACATATAAAAAAAAGGAGAAATGATGCTAATTTAGTTATCACTTTATATGATAAGAGAAAGAGAAAAATATTTATGATAGTCACCAAAGAAAAGTAAGTACAGGAAATTATTCAAAAGTATTCAAGTAATTTCCTTGAATCGAAAAAAATTGAAAGATTGACATATTCGAAGTATACCAATGGTATTTCTTTAAAATTCTATAATTAACAAATTCCAAAATTTCATTTTAAATTCATTTCTATAAATTCTGATATGGGAGAGGCTCCTATCTTGGCAGGAGAATTTGTAGAGCTAATAAGGATATCAAAGAAATCAATTAGATTTATTTGATATCTCAATGATTCTGTTTACAGGCTAGACATTTATTTCCAAAGATATTCATAGAGAAATTTAACATATTAAGAAACTAATAAGTTTTCACTAAAAAGTTTTAACTTATCCATTAATTATAATCAGATCTATACTTAATCAAATAATCAGGATAATTACTTATGATTGTATGATTAGAACGGTTGCATGATTATTACCTAATACTTGACAAGAAAAATTGTTTATTGAACAAATGTTTTCAACTTATTAACAAGCCATCTTCAGGTTTTGAACTCAAATTGTAAATTGTCCCAAAAATATAACATTTGTTTTTTCAAATTTTACATTCAAACTTAATATTTTAAATACAGATTTAAAATGGAACGAATTAAATAAATAAATGATGAACAATAAGAGGTTACCAAAATAAAATTCGGGTTTAAAAACCTGAAGATGGTCTATGCCAACAGGTTGAAAACATTTGTTCGATATATAATTTTTCTCAGTGAGCATTAGGTGGTGTAATAAGATTGTAGTCTCTCTGCTGAGTGCACTTTGTATTGTAAGTGTATGTAAATAAATAGCTTCCAACTTTTGTGATGGAAACAAATTTTTAAAATCTAAGAATCATTTGATTGTAGATAGACTGATGACTTGAAAAAACCTTGAAATAACATATCCTGTATGCCATCAATTAAACCTTCTCAGCTTCCCTTTAGTTCCTATGTCAGCAAGAATCATTTTTCTGCAATAAGCCTTACCTTTGTTTTTTACAAACTCAAAAGAAAACCTAGCAATTTATATCTTTAGGAAAATACAGAATATTACAGTGTTTCATAAACATTTTATATTCTGATATATATTTTTTTAAATTAAACATAATTTGAACTCCTATAATTTACTTTCTAAAAATTATCCTACAAAACTAAAATTTTTGCTATTTTACATATTGTACTGCACATTATGATGAAAATTAAAATATAACGGTACCTGATCAAATTGCGGAGAAGGATTTTTTCCTCTACATAAATTGGATATCGTCCAAGCAATGTTTCTTGTCATAGATATTCTAGATGATTTATTTAATAATCTGAAAAGTATAAAATTTCCAATTAATCAATTCAAAAATTAATACAGATTATATAATATAATTGACACCTAAGGCTATAGCAAGGCACATCAAACTTTACAGTTAAGATTTAAAAGTCTAACTTGTTATACTTTTAAATCTTAAATCTAAATGCCATTTTAAAAGAAATTTAATTTCAACTTACTGTAATAATGGAACTAAGACTTTTTGGTTCAAAACGTAATCTCTACATTCTGGGCTATCTCCAGCTATATTTCCTAAAGCCCATACTGCCTGAATTCACAAAAAACTTCTTTTAATAAAAATAAATTAAATTTTTTAAAAAATAAATAAGATTATTTCATAAACCTGTTCTTGGACGTCTTCATATTCAGATAGTAATAATCGAATAAAAATAGGTACGGCACCGGCTTCTATCACCATCCTAGTTTGCAGAGATGTTCCGGAAGCGATATTTGTCAATGCCCAAGCGGCTTCAAACTAAAAACATACATGTTTATTACATAAAACTTTATATTGCAGTTTTATTTTATTTATTTTAGATTTAATTGACAGGTTTTCAAATTAAAAAATACTTTTTAAGATTTCAACATTCATTTCTTCTAATTATTCTCATGTACAATAAGTGATTATGAAATCTAAATATATAAAATTGCTTGTCCTGACTGACTGACTGAATGACTCACTCACTGATTCATCATCACCCAGAGCAGACCACTTAACCTAAAGAGGTGAAATTTGGTAGACAGTTAGGGTATGTCATGGAAATGCACACTAAAGGGATTTTTTGAAATTCTCCCGCAGGGGGAGAGGGGGAGGATTAAGGCTTAACCGGAAGAATGGCTTCTACTGTACTATTTTAGATGTGATTTTTTGTTTTTATCTGCATTTTAGCAGGGTATGCCATGGGAATGCACACTAAGAAGGGATTTTTCAAAATTCTCCTGCGGGGGAGAGGGAGAGCATTAAGGCTTAACCGGAACAACGGCTTCTACTGTACTATTTTAGATGTGATTTTTTGTTTTTATCTGCGTTTTAGTAGGGTATGCCATTGCAATGCACACTAAGAAGGAATTTTTCGAAATTCCTCCGCAGGCGGGAAAGGGAGAGGATTTAGTCTTCATCGAGTACTTAGATGTATTAAATTAATAACATTTCAGACATTGTTATAAATATTTTTATCTATTTCGATTTTAAAAATGTTCGAACCGTTTTAAATTCAAATTTGTTATTGCATATTGGTTCAATTATAGAACGATTGTAAATGTTCCAGAAAATTGATCAAATTGAAAATAGTTCGTTTGTTTCTCAGCAATTCTCATCATTCTCAGCGGTAGGTGTTATATAACAATTACTATAGTTGTTGAAATACTGAATATAAATGGGATTTGCTTGCAAAATCCGTGCGGGCAAAGCCACAAGTAACAGCTAGTACAAAATAAATTTACAATTATTTTATATGATGAAATTTTTAATAATCTAAGTATATTTTGCAATTAATACTTACTTGAAGAGTGCAATTATCATCTCTCTGTAAAAATTCCACGAATTTTGGAACAATTCCTGTTTGTATCACTTCGTCGATAGGCGGATTGGGTTCTATTGGGTTATAATAAATTCAATTTATATGAAAGAAAAATAAAGTACAGTAGATCCCCCTATAAAAGCATTTCCTATAGTTATGATTCCTATAAAAATTGTGGCATTATCCGTAAACAACGGTAAAAATAACTCCTATAATACGTAAAACGTCATCGGGCAGCCGAACTACTTACCCGCCGTCCGTAGCGCCACGCTACGGAGAGATTTCTATCGTCTGGACAGTATTATATAAATTATATATAAATTAGGTACTGTACATATAATTATATATTAATTATATATAAATTAGGTACTGTATATATAATTATATATTAACTTAATTTATTGTAACTTTATTATAATTAAATATATATTTTTCGCCGTCTAGCGTCACGCTACGGCGAGTTAGGCGACCTATCGTCTGTTTAGTACTGTAATTTTATACATTTCTTGTGAAAGAAACATTTCTTATTTAACGGCCATAAAAATTATTTATATTAATGATGTCTCCAAAGGTCAACGAAGTTTTAGCAGAAAAATAATATCAGAAATAGCGGCCGCAATTTGATGCGCTGTTCCGCGACGAAACCAAGCTTTAGCAACGAGCGTAGTCAAAGGGTACACACTCGGTAAGTAATCCTACAATTTTTTGTTTATAACGTAGTTTATACGGATTATTTTT